TGACTGATCATACTATATATGTACTTGTAGTTCGCCCGATGCTGAGTTTAGTAGTAGTATTTATACTGCATTGTAGTGGGTAGTTCCCCAGTCTTGAGCTGGTCATATCTCCACTAGCAATATAGTGCTCATTATCATCTCTCTGTTGAAGGTGGAATCGGAGCTCGGCGATATGTTCTCTTTCCCTCACGCGATTGACACGGACCATTACTAATACGGATATTATTATACCGAGACCCATGGACGACAGCGGTAGTACTACGAGATACATTAGTAGTCATCGGGCCCGTGGTCGGTTAAACGGCCTCGGTTAGCTACCGATTACTCATAGTACATTAGTATTTACGGCCTGCCCATCTTGTATAAGTAGTAGCGCCTCTCGATAGGATTCCCTATCGAGAAGAACCTCGAATACATCGGTTTACCCTCATAACTCGACCTAGGCGCTCTCCCTATTAAGTCGTTCTCGCCGAGTGGGCCTAGCCCAGCCGCTCGTGCTCTAACACTCTCCATCCTTTTCTAGAGCTTGAGTGCGACCTTGGCTATCGCTGTTTGTGGCAGTGTATTGGCTATTGTGTCTGACCAGAATGGTCCCCCTGTTTGAAGTGGTAGGCTTTCATGTAGTTGAATGGACGTGTGGAGCCAGACATGGTGAGTTCGTGGTGTTCACTGTAGCCCATTGTGGCACATGTGGCTTGATCATGTGATGCGGTATTCCTCTGAGTGAGATGATCAAATTAGCAGAGCAAAGGATGGGAAGATATTAAGGCAATTGAACAAAGTAAGTGTGCGAAATTAAAAATTGGATGGGTGAAAAAAAGGAAAATATAATATTCTACAGGGTTTGAACACTAGAGCGCCGGCAGTCCAACCACCTGACAAAGGGTGTCATAACCACTGTGCAGCAATGACAGTTATCAGAGGCGCATGGTAGGTGGCCACATCCCTGGCTGATGCCCATGATAGAATAGAAAACTCAGGATGGCAATTTTTATAGCTCTGCCCCCCATCGTCACTCAGCAAGCCTATCGCATTGTCCGCTGAGACCAGCAATTCTGTGTGTCCAGCAGCCGGAAGCAAACGGGGGGTGGTCGCGGTGGTTCTCGTGTCTCGATGAATTACAAAGGACATGAATGACACACATACAATATTTTTATCTTGCATACTATAAACATGGGTCGCAGTAGACCGCAAATGGTTGTTGTAGACCCACACTTGTCAGCATCGCCGTTTTGATCGCATCATTCATTCCTGGCTTCCTTTCTTTCATTTCCCATCCTCTCCTCTACTTGAACGACCTGCTCAAGGCCTGCTGAAATCTTGACCAAGACTCGCACATTGTCATGAACATGTCTATTTTCGAGTATTTATCACAGTAGGTACAAGTAGTGTAGTTGGTCGGATCATCGGCCTGTGAGGGCGCATCAAGGTCCGCATCAGATGCGCTATCACATGCATCACTGATGCGCTCCATTGATGTTGGAACCAGTGATTGGGCTGTGCTATTCTTGCTTCTCTGATCGCTATCTTATTGTTGTGATATCGATCTTATTGTTCTTATTGTCATGATACAGATCTTATTGTTCTATTGTGTTGATACAGATCCTATTGTTCTATTGTGTTGGTACACATCTTATTGTTTAGATAGAGATCTTATTGTCTAGCCTCCTTATTGTTCTAGTAGCTATATAAGTAGGCTAGTGTAGTCCTGAGTCCTCAGTTTCTTACTGTTGACTTCAGACCTCTGTGCTTGCCTGATTCTATCAGGTTATGGGCCCCGGCTTCTAAGTGTCTGTTGTCTGAGATCCTCATCCACCGCATTTTTGCACTGCTTTTGTCCTTGTTGTGTGTGTGTGCCCCTTTGTATATAGGAGCACCAACTGTTGGGACAAATCCTCCTTGAGAGGTAGTCTTTGATCCACCAGAAAATATCCAGGTAGTCATCCCTGTGATTCTGGGGTTAGGGCCTAAGTGCCTTACAACTGGGTGTTCAGTAGCATTAGCTTTTCCTAGTTACTTTGCTATATCCAAGGGCACTTTCATCACCTACTCTTCTTCCACACACACACTAGGGCTTTAGCTCAGGGTCTTCAGTACCCCTCCATCTTTGCTACTCTCTTTCCCATCTTTCACACCACTGCATCATGTCTGCTTCAGACTTCTCCTCCATTCCTGTGTTCTCCAAGGAGACACAGTACTCTGAATGGAAGAGTGATGCTAAAGCCTACTTGCATCGCAAGGAGGTGTTTGGCTGCTGTATCACTGCATCTACAGATATTGTTGCCAATGAGAAGTGTGCTGGTATCTTGTGGGGCATGTTGTCCCAGGAGGTCAAGCCCCTTGTCAAGCAGCATGAGGACGATCCCAAAGCACTTTAGGAGGCCTTGGAAGCACTCTTTGCACCAAGGAAGGCTGGAGCTCGCTTCAATGCCTACAAGACACTCACTTCCATTCACCTCAGGGAAGATGAGTCACTCTTGTCTCTCACTGGTCGTGTCTCCGCTGCTATAAGGCTTCTCAAGGACTCCAGAACTGCAAAGTTCACCCTTGAGAATGCTGATGAGGAACTCCAAGCTGTTGTTCTTCTCATGGCCCTTCCTGATGAAGGACAGTTTGCTGTCCTCAAAGCACCATTTGAGCAGTCTCCAGACGATCTCAAGGTGGCTGTCATGAACATGTCTATTTTCGAGTATTTATCACAGTAGGTACAAGTAGTGTAGTTGATCGGATCATCGGCCTGTGAGGGCGCATCAAGGTCCGCATCAGATGCGCTATCATGCGCATCACTGATGCGCTCCATTGACAGCTGTTCCCATGCTTGACAGCGCTCTCAGTCAGCAACTCATGGATGCCTCATTGCAGCCTCATTGCAGCCTCATTGCAGCCTCATGTTTTCCACATGTTCTTACATATCTTTCTCATGCTTTTACTCAGCTTTCCCATGAAGCTGACTGATCATACTATATATGTACTTGTAGTTCGCCCGATGCCGAGTCTAGTAGTAGTATTTATACCGCATTGTAGTAGGTAGTTCTCCAGTCTTGAGCTGGTCATATCTCCACTAGCAATATAGTGCTCATTATCCTCTTTCCATCCTTTCCCCTCTCCAGAGCTTGAGTGCGACCTTGGTCATCGCTGTTTGTGGCAGTGTATTGGCTATTGTGTCTGACAGTGGCCACCATTGAGCAGGCCTATGCCAACCATCAGGCATTTAGGACTGCTCATCAGGAAGGAGATACCAGTCAGATTCACCCTCTCTCCGGCCTTGCTATGGCTGCAACCACTCCTGCTCCCTCTGGTTCCCCCTCATCTTCTGCTGCTCTTGCAGCTGCACCTGCTCAACCAGTCACCTGTGCTGGATGTGGAAACTCCAATCATACTCTCTTCCAATGCTTCCAGTTTTTGGAGCTTATTGGCAAGAAGAAACCTTTCCACAAAAAGGGTGCAGTAGCAATGCCCCAAGTTGCCGCTAATGCAAGTATCCTCACACCATCAACTGCATCACTTGCTGACAAACGATGGAACTCAGACTCCGGCACCACTTCGCACATGACTCATGTCCTGGAGTGGCTGCTGAATGCTTGCCCACACAGAGTTCCAATCCAAGTCGCAAATGGAGTCATAGTCTACTCCGAGTTGATTGGGGAAGTACTGCTTATACTGCTTCTAAAAGGGCGCAGTAGCCGGCCTATTATTCTCACAAATGTCCTCTATGTTCCATTGTTGTCTCATAATCTCATCTCTACTACTTATCTATCTCGAATTCATGGCTACTCTATTCTCATGAAGGGATGCACCATCTCCTTCCGTCGAGATAAACAGCTTTTATTTGAGGCAGACATTGATGAGAGGAACCAGGCATTTGTAAGAGAGGCTGTATTGTTAGAATCAGGCAAGCACAGTGGTCTGGAGTCAACAGTGAGAAACTCTTATTGAAGAGATAGAAGACTACTTACCTGGAGTCAACAGTGAGAAACTGAGGACTCCAGGTTTACATGCCTGGTATATATACTAACTACAAATAGCTGAGTAATGGAAATGAGTAATATGAATAAGCTGCTCAATAAGCAGCTGAGTAAGGGGTCATGTGATGTGCTCAGTAAGCGGGTGGGTAAGGTGATCAGTAAGCAGATGAGTAAGTAATCATGTGACCACAAAGCGAAATCATGTGAGACAAATGAGGGTGCTGGAAGTCCCACACTTCAACATGTATTCCCTTCTGTTTCAGCTTTTTCTGCAGTTGGAACCTTGCTCTTGACGAGAACCTGCTGCATCGCCGGCTTGGTCACCACTCTGACACCAAGAGAATCTTGAGCAAGAACCTGGTAACTGGTGCGAAACTTGTTTCAAACCGGAAACCAGATCCAATCTGTGAGCCCTGTCTTGCAGGGAAGCTGAATTCGGCTCCATTTCCCTCTACTGGACACCGTTCTGCAGCACCACTAGATTTGATACACTCTGATCTGAAGGAATACAAAGTTCACACCAGAGAAGGGTGGAAACATCGTGTTATCTTCATTGATGATCATACAAGCTTCAAAGTGGCTTACCACATGAAGCACAAGAGTGGGACATTCCAGGCATTCAAGTCGTTCAAGGCTTATGCTGAGAACCATTTTGGATGCAAAATCAAGGCACTGCAGGATGATGAAGGTGGAGAGTACATGTCCAATCAGTTCAAGCATTACTTCGCCTCTGAGGGCATTGTGCGTCGTCATTCAATGAGGAATAGGCCGCAGCAGAATGTATTAAAGCTAAAATAATGGCTGAACCGGGGATTGAACCCGGGACCTTCTCTAATCATGTGAGATGCTCTGAGCCGAAGCTATCCAACTGAGCTATTCTGCCGATAGTGTGAAGGGGACTCCCAGAAGGACCTTCAACACTCCCCCGGGCTCCGAGCACTATTGGCTCTTGGAACCTCACAAAGGGGGGCACCATCTTTAGCTTTCACGAAGCAATAATGCAACGGGGCCCATAACCTATTAAAGCTAAAATAATGGCTGAACCGGGGATTGAACCCGGGACCTTCTCTAATCATGTGAGATGCTCTGAGCCGAAGCTATCCAACTGAGCTATTCTGCCGATAGTGTGAAGGGGACTCCCAGAAGGACCTTCAACAGAATGGGATGGCAGAGCGTGGTAATAGCACCATAGATGAGCACACAACGGCAATGCTTCATGAAGCAAACCTCCCACCATCTTTTAAGACACTTGCTGTTGCAGTATACATTCATGTGGGAAACATGCATCCAACTGCTCATATTCCAGAGAATACCACTCCCTATGAGCTTTGGTTCAAGCAGAAGCCTAATGTGTCATACCTTCGAGTATGGGGCTGCCTTGCATATGTGCATGTGCAGAAAGACAAGAGGAATGCTTCTGGGCTCCATTTCCAGAAATGTATCTTTGTGGGTTATCCTACAGAGTACAAAGGATGGCTGTTCTACAATCCTGTGACTAAGAAGATGGTGATTTCGGAGCAAGCAGTATTTGATGAGAGGTACTTCCCTGGCAACAGCCCAGTTCGGATGAAATCCTACCCAGATACTCCTCCATCCACACTACAGCTTGTCGATCTTCCGCCAGCTGTTAAACCCCGAGTTGTGCTTGATTTTGATGATGATGATGATCCAGCACCTCCTGCCAACCCACCCCTGGCTCCTTCCACCCGAGCCAATTCTCCGGATCCCGCTCCACAGGACCCTCCCTCACCTCAGCAATCACCCCCTCCTTCACCCACACCACCCCTTGCTTCTCCTATCGGTATTGCCGCACGTCGTCGCTTCCATGGAGAATCAAAGGAGCGTAGACCTCCGGGGGAGTGGTGGAAAGCACCAAGGGAACCTGCACCTGCTGTTCCTTCTGATTCAGAGGACAGTGATGAAGAATTACTTCTGCAGGCTGGAAGTGTGCTTGTTGTTGCACATGAAGGAGATCCAACCAGTCCAGTGCTCCAAGCAGCTAATATTGCCTCTGTGCAGTCAGCTAACTCTGCTGTGCAGTCTGGAAATCCCCGCTCCTACCATGATGCTCTGAAGCGTGCAGATGCCCATCTTTGGGAAGATGCCGCTGTTACAGAGATAAATGCATTGCTGGAGAACTGCACTTGGGATGTTGTTGATGCACCCCCAGGTGTGAAGCCAATTCGCTCCCAATGGGTGTTTGTGATAAAGCACAAGTCTGATGGGACTGTAGAGCGCTACAAGGCCAGACTCATTGCAGATGGCCGAGGACAACACCATGGAGTTGATTACAACGAGATCTTCTCCCCCACCTTCAAAGCCGCTACACTCCGTGTTGTTCTTGCACTTGCTGCTCAGCATGACCTCAAACTTCGTTCCATTGATTTTTCATCTGCCTACCTGAATGGTGATCTGGAGGAGGATGTCTACATGACTCAGCCCGAAGGATTTCCTCAGGGAGATTATGGCCAGGTCCTTAAACTGCGAAAATCCCTCTATGGGCTCAAGCAGTCTGGCAGGCAGTGGAACAAGAAGTTGCATGCAAAACTGCAGTCCATGGGTTTCCAATGTCTCCAATCTGATCGCTCTTGCTACATCTACTCCAAGGGCACCACCCGAATTCTCCTCCCCATCTATGTTGATGATGGCATGATCTGTGCCAAGGAGGATGCAGAGATCGATCAGGTCATTGCTCAGCTTGCCACTTCCTTCAAAGTCAAGGATCTTGGTCCTACAGAATGGTTGTTGGGCATCAAGATTGAGCGTGATCCCGTCAGTGGAGCTATCGCCCTCTCACAGTGCCAATATGCTGTCAACATGCTTGAGCAGTTTGGGATGTCAGACTGCCAACCTGTCTCCACTCCAATGCTTCCTGGTCTTGTTTTGACCAAGGAGATGGGTGCAAAAACTCCAGAGGAGGCCAAGACATATGGCGGCATATATCTCTCTGCTGTTGGCTCCCTGATGTATCTTGCAACCCAAACCCGCCCAGACATCTCCTATACTGTTGGTATGCTTGCTCGCTTCAACAGCAACCCAGGGGAAGCGCACTGGAAGGCTGTGAAGCACCTCTTCTGCTACATCAAAGGCACTCTTGATTACCAACTCATCTACTTGAAATCAGCTATTTCAACCCATCAGTTCATGACCTACACCAATGCAGATCATGGTGGCTGCAAAGACACTGGGAAGAGCACTGGAGGCTATTTGGTGGTGATGAATGGTGCTCCAGTCAGTTGGAGGAGCAAGAGACAAACTACAGTCTCTCTGTCCACCACCGAAGCGGAATTTGTTGCTAGTGTGGAGGCTGGCAAGGAGATCAAATGGATGCGCAATCTGCTCATGGAAATGGGCTTCCCAATTTCTGGACCATCCCTGCTTCTCATTGACAATCAGTCTGCACTCCAAGTTGCCAAAAATCCAGAACACCATGGTCAGATGAAACATCTTGACTTGTGTTTCTACTGGCTCAGAGATGAAGTGGGCAAAGGCTACATTCAACTTGAATATGTGCCGACTCAGGAGCAGATTGCAGACATTCTGACAAAAGCTCTGCCTCGCCCTACTGTGCTGAGGCTGCTTGCAAAAATGGGACTTAGGTAGCAAGACTATCACCGTCCTGGGGGAATGTTGGAACCAGTGATTGGGCTGTGCTATTCTTGCTTCTCTGATCGCTATCTTATTGTTGTGATATCGATCAGAGAAGCAAGAATAGCACAGCCCAATCACTGGTTCCAACACTCCCCCAGGACGGTGATAGTCTTGCTACCTAAGTCCCATTTTTGCAAGCAGCCTCAGCACAGTAGGGCGAGGCAGAGCATTTGTCAGAATGTCTGCAATCTGCTCCTGAGTCGGCACATATTTTGTCTAGCCTCCTTATTGTTCTAGTAGCTATATAAGTAGGCTAGTGTAGTCCTGAGTCCTCAGTTTCTTACTGTTGACTTCAGACCTCTGTGCTTGCCTGATTCTATCAATTGACAGCTGTTCCCATGCTTGACAGCGATCTCAGTCAGCAACTCATGGATGCATCATTGCAGCATCATTGCAGCCTCATGTTTTCCACATGTTCTTACTTATCTTTCTCATGCTTTTACTCAGCTTTCCCATGAAGCTGATTGATCATACTATATATGTACATGTAGTTCGCCTGATGCCGAGTCTAGTAGTAGTATTTATGCTGCATTGTAGTAGGTAGTTCTCCAGTCTTGAGCTGGTCATATCTCCACTAGCAATATAGTGCTCATTATCCTCTCTCCATCCCTTTCCCCTTTCTAGAGCTTGAGTGCGAACTTGGCTATTGCTGTTTGTGGCAGTGTATTGGCTATTGTGTCTGACAAACGGCAGTTATGGGGCAATGGGAAATCTGCTTGCGGCGAGCATCGCTTGCATGCACTCCGCATGTGTGTGGTGGCTGCATTCCACAGTACCGTTTTGTGCCGGGGAATCGTGCACTGTCAAGTGCCAAATAGTGCCCTTGGACCATAGGTGCTGAGAGAACACCTTGGACTTAAATTCGCCACTGCCGTTTGTCAGACACAATAGCCAATACACTGCCACAAACAGCAATAGCCAAGGTCGCACTCAAGCTCTAGAACAAGGAAAGGGATGGAGAGAGGATAATGAGCACTATATTGCTAGTAGAGATATGACCAGCTCAAGACTGGGGAACTACCTACTACAATGCGGTATAAATACTACTAGACTCGGCATCGGGTGAACTACAAGTACATATATAGTATGATCAGTCAGCTTCATGGGAAAGCTGAGTAAAAGCATGAGAAAGATGAGTAAGAACATGTGGAAAACATGAGGCTGCCATGAGGCTGCAATGAGGCATCCATGAGGTGTTGACTGAGAGTGCTGTCAAGCATGGGAACAGCTGTCAACAGAGCGCATCAGTGATGCGCATAATAGCGCATCTGATGCGGACCCTGATGCGCCCTCACAGGCCGATGATCAGATCAACTACACTACTTGTACCTACTGTGATAAATACTCAAAAATAGACATGTTCATGACAATTTCTGACCTAGAAGGCCAGGTATTTATATTTATTCATTATTGTGTTGAAGTGTGGGACTTCCAGCACCCTCATTTGTCTCACATGATTTCGCTTTGTGGTCACATGATTACTTACTCATCTGCTTACTGATCACCTTACTCACCCGCTTACTGAGCACATCACATGACCCCTTACTCAGCTGCTTATTGAGCAGCTTATTCATATTACTCATTTCCATTACTCAGCTATTTGTAGTTAGTATATATACCAGGCATGTAAACCTGGAGTCCTCAGTTTCTCACTGTTGACTCCAGGTAAGTAGTCTTCTATCTCTTCAATAAGAGTTTCTCACTGTTGACTCCAGACCACTGTGCTTGCCTGATTCTAACATATTGTTTTCTTTCTAAAGAAAAATTCCTTTGTTCAGCTGAATAGATTGCATCAATCCGAAGAACCCACCAGTTCCTATATTATATTCAATTCCAAGCTCTGTGAAGGGTAAGTATTTCTTCTATTTTTTTCTATTTTAAAAATAAATAAATAGTCAAACACTTGATATAAGGGGCAAGGATAATGAAGACCTCATAACGGATCTTTCCAGTATGCCAGGTATAGACATGGACCATATTACAGATCTTCCTCAAGCTGCTCTTGGTAATGGTTATTTTGATGCAGATCCAAGTTTCGAAGGCTTTACTTTACAACCGAGGCAATCCACTTGGAGCCAGCATATAATTGCTATAGAGAAATGGTAAGCTCTTCAATGAATTTTCTGCAAAGTTTTGATCTTCTACACAGGGCACAGGAGCTCCTACAGATGAGCATCATGCTCATTTCATCCAGAGGGAGGACATAACTGGAATCAATCATGGTCAGAGAATACTGAGACCCAATGAAGAAATCATCAAAGACCCTCTTACATATGAAGCCCTTGTGCAATGTATGATTCCTGTCTGTGAACACATTGCAGGCAAGGTGATTTTTCTCCCTATCTTGGCAACAGCTTTGAATGCAACCTTGTTGCATATATATCAATCCTTTCCAGAATGAATTGTGCCTTTTCGCTCCCTTCAGCGGCATTGTGGTTAATTTCAATGCTTTCTCCGATGGCCATTTGG